TTCAGATGGGCCACATGCTGACCCAGAGGCGTCAGCCTAGAGCTCTGATTCATATTGCCACTGGGCTGGCGTCAAGCTGTAAACAGTGTGCTTGGAGAAGCCAAGACTCATAAGAGGCTCTGTCCAACTACAGCTGTCTACTCAAAACAATCAAATGTCCATCATTAACACTACTTGGGCCCTTCAGTCATTCTTGAAGGCTTCTTTAGGGTGTGACCAATGGATCACCTTGAAATGAAAACAGAGATCTGATCATCTGAAAATCTTGCCCGACTTACACAGAACATCCACCAGCAGTTTAGGACAGATGGTATTCTATATTCTACTTGATAAAATCGTTGCACGAACAATACTATGTTTTATGGACATTTAGCATGGTGGTAAAACTACAGTGTTCTTTGAAGTACCTTGGTATATCAAATTAATTTCACGGTACAGGGGCCATTGCAAATCCAATGAGTAGGAAATACTCAAGAGTTCCTCAGTGGGTCTCTCCTGTCACATGGCCCAGGCTATAGTATGAGATCATAGCAATCATTTAAGTTGCAATGAAACACAAGTGCAGTGGATATTTTCTTCCGTGTTATGACACATCAGAGTGAAAAAGATAACTAAAGAAAATGGAGGGAGGGGACTTATTTCTCTGCACCGGTTGCTGATTGGATTTTGAGATGTGGCGTTTAACTTAAAAATGTAAGCGAGCCTGAAGTCGATTGTGCAGGGGCGGGTTTAAGTGAACCAAATGACTGGAGAAACCTTTTGTTTTCACAGAAAGAATGTTATGATTCGTTGTGATATTTGGATAAAGTATTACAAGGTCAAATAAAACAAAAAAAGAAACATACATGGATGAATTGTTCACAACAAGATCTGCAACATGCATTTACAAAATACTCACAGGGTGAATTTTAATTTCATGCCACTTTAAGTAACAAATATTTCTTATGACGAGACGCAAAATGAATATTTCATCTTAAAGTCATTTCTAACACATCTATTCCAGCTTCACAGAATTTCTATCATAGTTCATCTCTATAAGTCTCTACTACTATGTCAACTCTATCTACTTCAATGAATCCTGAATGAATGTGGATTAAGACGATTGAGTGCCAGTAGCTATTGATACACATTCATTAAGGAGCCGGCAGCTTTTAGCTTCAAGTGTCTCTTCAAAATAAATCCCAACTAATTTTAATCAGTCTTTCCCTGAAATTCAAACCTGCAGATGGGACTCCAGCTAATACCACTGGCACATAATCAGTGAAATATACAACTAAAAATCTTGAGTCCTTGGGCCTTTGGGGTTAATCTCCAGAACGGTGTACAACTTCAGAGCGGCTACATTGAGATCAAAGCCTATTCATGAGCCAAACACACAAAAAAAACGTTGACTTTTGGCCCTCTGCCACTGATGGATTGAGTCCTCGTCTCTTCTATTGTGAAGCGAGACTCCATTGGCTGAGAGCTGGATTGTGTGGAGACACTGTCTGGGGCTGAACTCAGCAGGATGTGACAGAGTAAGGTCATGTGGAAGGGGTTACATAAATTTGCGGGGGGGGTCCCTATGTTTTCCTTTGGCACAAGCAATGGGCACCAACTGTGAAGATAAACAATTCAGAAGATCACTTGATGACAAAGTATAGCCATTCTAGGACAGTTACCCTTTAAATGTAATTCAACTGAACCTGGATTTGTGCTTCTGAGGGCAATTGTGTTTAACAACATCCTGAGTAAGCTACCAGGTTAGTGTGGATAACATGAGCAATTTTCTGTCTAATGGTGACTTTCCCAACTTAATGCCTGACATAGTCTTTCAGAAGTAGCCTTTGTTATCACAGCGAATTTGGCATTCTTTTGGCATCTGCTAAAATATGTCACGGGACGTAAAAAGGCCAGTGAGAATTCCCCTAAATATGAGTGTTTACATCTCACAAAAATGTGTGCACATTTATTTATCCTATTCATCTTTTCCTCTGGACCATTCATTGCTCCACACAGAATGGTTTTCTTTCCTGCCTAGTGCGTTGGGATTACCACGTTGAAGGAAAGACACCCAAAGGGTGTGACAGCATTCTCGAAGCAACAAGAGCCACCAAAACAAGTTTCATAGCAATACACTGATTCATAATGCAGTTCTATTCATGTTATTTAGAATATAATCTTTCAGTATAACTCCGTACACCCAAAAGTGGCTTTCAACTCTTTTGAAATCCTGATTTATACATTAAGATAATGTAATTTTTCAAGCGAGATTTCACCTAAAAATGAAAACCCCAAAAAGTTTTAATGTTTCAGCTGTTTTTACCCAAACAATGAAAATCGGGGCTCAATGCAACATGCCCCCATTGATTTTCACAGTATGGAGAGAGTGAGAAATGCTTATAGGTATGGAACAACATCCATAGAAAGAAAATGCATGTGAATCAGTATATTGGATCAAGGCATTCGGTCTTAAAGCATCCAACTATGCCTGCTGTCTTCTGTGTCATTAATGTTAATAAAAAAGACCATCTCTCATTGCCCTTGACTGAATCACTTTTGAAACTTTAATCAAAATAAATGCTAATTTAATTTTGCACAGTGAAGACTATGCAGTGTTTTTATACATTTGATTATTTTATACAATTTAATTAGGGCCAGAGCACCGATGTTGTGAGGACCCTATTGGAATTTCTCTGTTTATTTATGTAGTATTTCTTATTTCTGGTGCTAGAAGTTTTCAGGTAGGTCCATTTCATGTGTGTCTTTGTTCTATTGTAGTTTGTTTTCCTATATGCTTGTAAAAAACTTGTCTTCAGTCTGCTTCAGTCAGAGTTTTTTTTTTTTTTTTAACTTAGGCTGGTATTACTTTTTGTGATATTGAAATTGGTGACAAGAATTATGAAATTTCAAATGAAAACTAATTTTGATATAATAAAAACCTTATTTAAAGCAAAAATAACTATATAGTAATATATATATATATATAGATCGTTATTGTGAAATAAAATTACTCGTATCATGATTTTGATCTTCTGGCCCACCCCTATTACTTGAGCAGAAAATCAGCCTATTAGAATGACTTCATAAATAAGTCACATTTTAAAATATAATAAAGTAGAAAACAGCTAACTAATAAACAGCTAATAACTCTTATACTGACTCAGTATATATATATATATATGTATATATATATATATATATATATATATATATATATATATATATATATATATATACACATATATAAATATATATAACCTGAAAGGGCCACATTGGCATATTTATCTTAGTTCTTGGGACTTCCTTAAAGTTAAGTAAACCCTTAAGACACACACACACACACAAACACACACACATCAGACACATGCCTATACATTAAATACTGTAGACAAGATGTTTGTTATTACTGTTGAGACCCCCTATTTATCAAAAATCCTGCAGCTGCCTTACTCACGAAGCCCCTGAGGAACGTAAGAGCGAAATTCTTCAGTCAAGAGACATGAAATCTTATAAGCATGCAGCTTTTCTCTGAAGAGTTAAAGTTTAACACATCAGGGCAGGCTCAGGAAAAGCCCTTTACCTGAACACTAGACAAACCTCAGACCACTCTAAAGCATCTGAGTAAACCTGCTATTCAAACACAGTAACTAGATAACCCAGTGACCCTTGGACAAATGTCTCTACAGTGAGGTGGGCTGAATTAAAGATCGCCTCGCTGCTAAATTGCCCAGGGACACACAAAAAAAAGCAATGAAAGACAATAAATGGGCCTAATTTAAGGCTCTGGCATCTAGACAAGCAGAGGTGGACTTGAATGAATGAGCGGGAGGCTATTTAGCTTTTAAACGCATTTGTTTCCAGTTACCTCTACAGCTTTTGTGAGCTACAGATCACTGAGCCAGAGCTGCAGTGTTTCCTGAAAAACTGAACCATATGCAGTTTGGGGGATTGTATGTTTAGATTGACTTTGTAAATTGTACCCGGCTCACTCAATTACAAGGACAGAGCGATTGTTCAGGACAAGCCCAGCCGTGCACTTAGAGAAGATACACTTCAGGTCAGAGGAAGTGCCTCATAAAGAGTTAGAACTATGAATGTTTGTGGTTCAATGAGCAGATGTAGCACAGCGCAACCTGCTCGGAGCGTAATTGTGGTTTGGACTGATGAATGAGCATATGAGTGTACTAATAGCAACATACTTCTACTCTAAACACTTCATTTTGCCCCTCTTTCCATCTTACATTCTTTCCATCTGGGCCCATTTTCAATATCAACCCCAAACACAGAAGACAGGGCTAAATTGAATCCACACATGTCAGTGTTTTCAAACACGATGGAGAAAAATATGGTTTCAGATAAATCCTATTGCCTTCATTCCTCACCTTCAGGGCAGCAGTCACCTTTAAGAGAGCGAAAGGCCAAGAGTGTTGCACACACATACACACTTCCCTTCCTCTCTGCATGGCTGACCTCTTTATAGGCTCGCTGAGATGTAAAGAAGACGAGTGTAATGCAGAGAACAGCTGGCGTGACAGGACTAAGCACACACACACACATAGGCTGCACCCCGATAGTCATGAAGATATGTCACACACAGACACATTCAAGCCAACTCTATGAAACCTACAGAAAAACAGCAGAATGCAGTCAGCTCTCAGTGAAGCGCTGAATCCACAGTTTCGCTCCCCTCGGCTGCTTTACCTGTGTCAAGGACAGTAGGAGACCACCAACACACACTTTGACCACTTATTCATTAAAAACACACAACGACTATAAGTTCTGTTCAAATAAACCTTGAATAACCAGCAAACTACACCACTATAAAGATGTTCCTGCTTAGCTACACCCTTGTCTTCGAGTATACTTAATCTTACACTGTTACATGCAATCAGCAGCAGTACAGTAAAACTCAGTAAAAACAGTAACAGTACCCCCCTCTCTCCCACCCCTCCCCCGTCTCAACCCCCCGTAAGGTAAAGACATTAGCACCTCTAAACTCCACCGCTGTTTGTACTCACCATGCTGCTGGCGGATTGTCCTTCCCTTCATTAGATTCATTTTCCAGTGAGGCCGGCAGAGTCCTGTGTTGCGTGTGGGTGTGCGTGCATGTGTGCTGAGTGGGCAAGTTTGTGTGTGTTGCTCACTAACCCTTCCAAACTGCAGGTCTCCGACACACTGACACACTCCCCACACACTGCAGCAGCTCATGAGGTAGAGACCGCCCTCACACACTCTGCCCCTCCCCTCTCACAATGCCTGGCTGCCTGTCACTCAGAAAGTTATGGACACACCCACAGCTCAAATGTCCCACCCCTTCACACTCTACACAAGCTGCTGGAGCAAAACATGCACAAGGGGAAAAAAGTGTAAACACAAACTACATATTAAATATGCAGTGTCTTACAATTTAAAAAAAGTATTAAAGGGATAAGTTTACCCAAATAATGATTTCTATCATCACCAACTCAAAATATCTACTTTTGTGTTCCACATAAGACAGAAATTCATGAGGGTGAGAAAATTAGATTTTTTAGGTAAACTATCCTCTCTGTACTCTATTATCTATTTTTACACATCATACATAAAAATAAAAATAAATCAGCTCAAATCATTATAAAATACAATATATAATGGGTCAGTGACGTTTTAGAATTTCAAAACAGTAAAAAAATAAAAATGAAAGGACAAATTAAATATAGCATTTTTTTTTTTTAGCATTTCAGCTCGTTATCAGCTGTCAATCAAAGTTAACCGCCCTTATTTGTCATACGTTTTAGATTACAATAAAAGTCCATGGGACCAAACTGTAAACTTATGAATTTAAGCTGTGAAAACGGACATTATAACATGACATCTATGGATATTTGCTCCCTTTTGGGACCAGCCTCTAGCGGATTTGAGATGTATTGCAGTTTATCGCACTTCCGGGTAGGCTTCATCTTTCAGATTAAAATGTTGCTGCTTGCAAATAACATTGGAAGCAATTTATATATATATATATATATATATAATTGCTTCCAATGTTATTTGTGGAAGAATTTTTTTAATTCAAAACGTTTACCAAAAAAAAGCTTCTGAATTCAATACGTTTACCAAAATACACAATTCAGTCAAATGTATTTTTACTTGTAAGAACAAAAAGAGTAAGGGAAATTTACAGCAAAGGGGTTTTCAAAGGAAACAGTGCAACCAGGATTTTCACTGAGACAACTACAGAGACTAACTCCATGCTGGCATAGTGAATGGACACAGATCTCTAGTGGGAGGAGAAACACGGTCCAAGATGAGTGATTGACACTTGATCTGCTTGCCACTTTCTAAAAGCTGAGAAGGGATCAACAAGGAGAAAGACAGACCGTGAGGGGTAGAGCCTCAGTCAAATGCACAGCTGGTCTAAGCTGCATTAAATGACCTCTAACTTCATTTGAATCACAGTTATAATTAAATAATTAATGAATTATTTGTACCTCAGAATCTTTTTTTCTCTCTAAAGAAGTGTAAATGCCTCATTAAATCGACAGTTGTTGTTTTTCAACCATTAATTGCATATTATTACATTAAATAAAGATCCAACATTGATGATAGAATTATACTTTTTAATTATACTTTTTGAGCGAACTATCATCAACTAAGCTTTTAAACAAAATTTCCATAATAAGACTTCAGCCATGTGCTAGCAGTAAAGAAGTGAAGTGAAGTGTAGTGGGTGAATTAACATATACTACTGTTGTTAAGTTTTTGGGGGGTTTTGAAAGAAGTTTCTTATTGTCACTGAGGCTACATTTATTTGGACAAAAATACAGTAAAAAAATATATATATATTTTAATATACAATTTATTCCTGTGATGGCAAAGCTGAATATAGCTGCCATTAATCCGGTCTTCTGTGTCACATGATCCTGCAGAAATCATTGTATAGATATATTATAATATGCTGATTTGCTTGCAAGAAGCTCTTGTACTGGGCAAACAAATGCAACTCAGTGTTTAAGTAAATTTTAACCAGTTCCTTTTAATGTCATCTTGGATATTGATTTTCTTAAATAACATTAACAGGACCCTCACATCAATAATTATACCACATTCAAGTATATAAATCACTTTGGAAAAGTCAACAATACATCTGCTGGTGTATATTTCCCCTGGTGGAAACATCATGAGCACAAAGGAGATTTCTCAGCTTAGTACCAAGCTGCACATAAACTTGGACACTGAATTAAGGTCATGCTAATTTGAATCCACACATATGTGGGTCTCTGTGTTTTAAGTTTTTCATCACTATGTTAGGTCTGTCTATTTATATAGGGGTTCAGTATAAATAGAGTCTGTGTAGTGTATGACCCTGCCTCACTAAAACTCTCAATGTCAAGCATGTGACCATTCCTAAATTAAAATATATTTACTTTTAACCAGGCATTGTAAAAACACATGTTCCTTTGGCTCTAGACCAGGGGTCTTCAACCATTTACAGGCCAAGGCTAAATTGATGTATAGAGAAATGGACCAGGGAGGGACCCCTGTAGTGTATAAAAAAGTGCTGCATTTTAAGGCTGTAACACACCATCAAAGAACTAGCCTTGCGTTGGCTGCGTTTTGGGACAAAAAGCTGCTCTTGAAAACACTCCAAAGACTACAGCTGACTGCCAACCAGCACCTATATGTAGGAAATAACCTTTCTACATCAGCAGGTATCATCTCTATTCGTCTTTCAAAAACGTAAACCAAAACTAGGATTGCAGATATACAAACCATAAAGAAAGCACTGTTTGGTTACCATTTTTAACTTTCTTACTTACTTTCTGACTCAAAATACTCTGTTGATTTTGATCTTACATATAAGTGTTATACATCATTTGATCCTGTTAAGTGTCTATTTTTTGTGTATACTCACAATAAAAACAAAGTGTTGTGCTTTTTGGCAAATAAAGAAAAATAAACATGATGCGCTTACTGCCATCTCGCTCAATGTGAAGTCCATTCTGAAACACGTCCGAAAATGAACTGTAACTCAGCGAATACTTGCGCAGCCACACAGGCATGAAGCCTGAATCTGTATGAAAAGAGATGTCAGCCGTTCTCATTTCAGCTCATTATAGCTCATTAAGTGCTAAAAAAAACAGTTTTTATAGTGTTTGTTCCAATATTCAAAATAATGAATCCTTAACTTTGAAATAAGTATGATAAAATGAATACTTTTTACAAAGAAAGATTACACTTGAAATATTGTTAAAATAGTAATTGTTGTTGATTTGCATGTGAAAACTTTTTAATAAAATATCAAAAAATATATTTATATATAGGTGTATGTAAGCAACATCTTGATAGGTCAATAAAAGCCTTCTCATTTAATTATTTATTATTGTTTTTTATTAGTGACACATTTGGAGAGAGAATATATTCCAAAACTTTCTGAAAATACAGTATGAGAATTAACTGTATAGTTGCTAGAAAAGTTTACCTTGGATATTATACAATTTGCATGCATACAAAATGAGTCCTCACATTCTTACTTGTGCTGTGTTTTTTTTCTTCTCACTACCCAGTGACACACGTGAATGAAAGGCTCATTATGCGGGTTATTGTCTTCTCACTCAGGTGTGCATTAATTCAGGATCATTCAAGATCATTCACGCCCGCGACAACATCCATCAGTCAAAAGTCTTGTGGACACATATTTAGTAGGCCTATGTGTTTTGTGGCCTTTTTTCAGAAACTTTCATTTTGATTTTTTTAAATAACCATGCATAAATATTATTCTCTCAAAAATACAAACATGTACATACATGTTGCTCACATATTATGGTAGCCCTATTTGTGCTAAATAGAGTGTAATTACACCTTTGCCATTACTATGTTTATAAGCAACTGAAAAGCAACTAAGGCACAAATGTAAGGCCATGAAAACATCTCAAGGAGGACCCCAAAAACACAAAATTTAACATGAGAGACTATCACGGACAGCAGACGTTGGCCGAATAGCATTGGTTAAGTACCATATTTATGTATTTATATGCTTTGTTAGGATGGTTACATTGCAAACACATTTTTTAAAAAGTCATCTACTTGTACATTTGACCTCTTACTCTTAAAACATAAAATTATTATTATTTTTTAAATCACTTTAGCTTCTGTAACTTTTGAGTGAAGTTAATGTATTTTTATTTATTTTTCAACATTACACAATAAAACAATAACTGGCAGATCTTCTGCAGTACTGCCATGGATACTCTATGCATAATACCCAATCCTATTCTTAATGAAAGGCAGTGGGCAGTTGAGAGACAGCAGGAGCAACATGACATCATGACTTTTGCGTAAACATACACGCCACTTTCGAGTCAAGTGGCGTGTTATCTCTTGACTCGAAAGCTACAGAGCTGGTAGCACTTAATGATATTCAAAGTCACATTATATGCTTTTAACATTAAATAAAGCACATAAACAGTGCCCTGAGATTATCATTGCCACACTGCGTTTGTTGATCCAGCGCGACATCGCAGAAAAATAGAAACTCCTCAAGTCGCCTTCGTGGCTGGTTAGGACAAAAACCCTGATTAACATGGCAAAAATACCTTTTATCGCATGTTGCGTGTAGTTAGGACACGGTGTAACACACTTCACTTTCAGATTATTTGAGGAGATGAGATGCAAAAATAAACCTCTTACAGGTACTTTGTGGAGAGCTGGGCTTGAGGGAAGGAGTTAAATGCAGGCGGACCAGAGGGAGCCAAAGCACTCTGCAGTGACTGGAACACGGATACTAGCATTCCTACTGCACACTGCAACAGCAGGAAGGCATGTAGGAAAGATTCCTCAAAAAACAAGATCAACTTAGTGCCTTGCCAGAAACATTAAACCTAAATGTTGAATTAAAAAAAAAAAAAAAAATTGTATATTCATATTTCCAAAACTTAGTTGCATACAAGTGAAATTGTCAAAAAGTGGCAACTAATGATAGCCATTGTGTTTTCCTAATAAGAAATGCAGTATTTCATTGTTTGTGAAAGTTTAAAGGGGAAATGAAGCGGTGAATCAAGTTTACATGATTTACAAGATGGATTTCCAATATAATCAATAATTATATAAGAAACATTAAAAATGTAAACATTTAGAAGAAAAAAAGAAAAAACTTTGTATCTTTCGCCGCCAGGGCGCCGCCATTGT